AAGTCTTAAAGTTGCCAAGGTTGGACACCCCTGATTTAGACCCTTACATAAAGATGCCCAGGTAGATCTTTATCATCCAAGTACCTTGGATGCATGTTTATGTTACAGCATGACCTGGTTACTGATCAAAATGTAACCAAATTAAACCAAATAAAGCAAAGAAGCAAAACAGTTTACAGCGACTAAAGGTACACCTTCATGGTAGGTGAAAAATATATAACAGCCCATTAGGAACTTCTGCTTCATAAGGTTACTAGATAAGAATGCACTGAATTGTGTAGGTATGTAGACATACTGAAGATGCAAGAAGATTGGAGCTGGTGATTCCCCTCCTGTTCTCTGATTTTATGAATGTCTACAACATCTTATCAGTGTTGATTTGGGAGGGAGCAATGTTTATAAATCATCTGAATGTAGGCACCAGAGGTGGCATTCAGCAGGTTTGGAGCAGTTCTGGAGAACCGGTAGCAAAAAAATTTACTAGTTCGGAGAACTGGCAAATACCACCTCTGATTGGCCCCTCCCCATCTATTCTCTGCCTCCTGAATCCCAGCTGATTGGCCGGGTCTTCTTTTGTTATGCTGCACAGGAGAACAGAGCTAGAAAGCAGGTTAGTGGGGTGGGGAGGGAATGGAGATTTTACAGTATCCTTCCTCTGCCACACCCACCAAGCCATGCCCACCAAATCGCACCACGTCCACCAAGTCATGCCCAGAGAACTGGTAGTAATTTTTTTGTGAATTCCACACTGGTGGGCACATGTATCTCAAGTGTTACATCTCTGTTCTTAACTTTTGCTGTCCTAGATTTTGACCATGTTCTCTCTTTTTTTTTTAGGGGCAATATTTGATGAATCCGCAAAAAAGGATGAGGAGGTGTTTCGCATGGCCGTTTCTGATCTCAACCAAAATGATGAAATCTTACAAACGGAGAAAATCACCATCTCTGTGACTTTTGTGGATGGCAACAATCCATTTCAAGCAGTTCAGGAAGGTAGAGTTTCCAAGGCTGATTTGTTTCTTCCTTGTGTTTTGGGTGATGTTTGAAATGCTTGCAAATGAAGTCCTGTTGAAGGAGTTTGCTTTGGATATGGAAAGGCGCTTTATTGCATTCTGCAGAGTCTGTCAGATGGATGAAATGTTTCTTCTTAAGCGACAGTGATTTGGAGCAGCAAGTTTTGCTTTTCATCATAGTAATTAATTAGGGGACTTTGAGGCCTCTGACAGAATGAGCTCTTTTAGTCTGAAGGAAATGATTGGACATGATTGTCGCCCCAAAAAGTGAGGACAGAGATTTCTTTTTTTCCTCTTAAGATGCTGTGATATTTATTTTGGCTTGGTGCCAGTGTATTCTGATAAGTGAAAAATATGAATTTAAGGCTTCTTAACATGAATGAATGTTCACACTTGTTATTTCATCCATACTATAATGATGGCATGTGAGAAGAGAGGTAGGAAATTGGTGTGAGTGGTCAGTTTATGATCAGCCTTTTGCCAATAAAATTTGGAAGAGTTACAAAGTTACATTTGTCCAAAAATCGTGAGAATTTCATCTGTCCTGCCACTTTCCCAACTTATCAATATAGCTCAAGTGTGGTTATATATAACTGAGTGATCATTGTTTTATGTACATAACAGTGGCTAAAATAGAAATTAGAGATTAAGTCTTGCCGAAATAACTACGTTTAAGAATTTCAACTTTTTATAGCCTGCAAAATTCATTATTGGTTCATGTATTCAGATATCTATCCAACACATTCTGACATTCTACATTGTGTATGTGTGTGTGCATTAATTGAATGTTGGAAGGTAATTGTTTTTGATTTTTCCTTTGTAAAAGCAACTACTAGTACTTTCCTATTACTCTTTTGAATTCAGATTGATTTATCCTTTTTTTTAAAAAAAAAAAGGGCTCATTGAAATCAAAGGAAATTGGTATAATAACCTATTATAAGTCCCAGGGATCACAATGGCTGTACTTTCAGAGTGTCTAAATTTGAATTCACGCCTAAAGTTTTGTGCTATTGTGTTTCACTGTGCAAGAAAACGGTGCTTGTTTTGTTTGTTGAACTTGCGGCTTTCACAGTTATCTTTGTGTAATTATAACAAACATGGTTCGCTTGATATTTCTGCTAGAGCAAGTATGGTAATTTCTCTATTATACCACGATGAAAATATATGGTACGGTTGGTTTTTTCCAAAGACTGTAATTTAGGGTTTCACAGACTTTAATTTGGGGGTTTCAAGTAGGTCTTTCTATGTTAGATTCAGGAGGAAGAGATGTTTTCTCAGTGACTAGTTGCTAAATATGATTCTCTTTTCTTCAATCGCATCACAAAATTTTTGAATGAAATTTAATAATATTTAGGAAATGAATAATGGGATGAAGACAAAACCAAAGTAGTTGATCCTATCTTTTTCTTATAAATTAAATATTATTGCTGATGCTTTATTTAAACAGCATTTTCTTTGCCTGTGGTTTACACAACAACCCGTTCCTTATTTTAATAGAACAATTGTCTTATATATAATTATAAACAAGACCTATGACATTCTTGGTAGAGTTTTGCAGGAAAGGTATTTTATTGCACAGATGACTGTCTTCCTTCTTAAAGAAGGGGTCATCCTTTTTAATCTCCTTGTGTAAATTATTATGATACCCTCAGGCTTCTTTCTTCTCTGATAGAGATCTCAAGATGCCTAGTTAATACTTCTCGCTTGATTGATGAAACTTCTGTTATGAAAGTGGTTGGTTTTTTTTTCCCTATAAACTGGAAAACCTATTTTGAAAGTAAAACTAGAAAGTGATCTCAGGAAACAAATGGGTATCTTACAAAATGTTATAGTCTGAGAATGCAATATCTTTTAAAATTAAAATCATCCCTTAGCAGAAGGGTGTGAAACTCGATTTCATTGAGGGCCACATCAGGGTTGTGTTTGACCTCGGGGGGGCTGGAGTAGGTGTGGCAAAAGTAGGTGTGGCCAAGGTGAGTGTGGCCAGCTCGACATCACTTGTGTCAAGGCACCTATGGTAGCCAAGGACTTCCCTCAAATCCTCTCTCACTCTCACTATATTCTTCCTTCCTTCCTTCCTTCCTTCCTTCCTTCCTTCCTTCCTCCCTCCCTCCCTCCCTCCCTTCCTTTTCTTTTTCCTTCCCTCTTCATTCCCCTTTCTTCTTCCTTCCCCTCTTCCCTTCTTTTTCCTTCCTTCCTTGCTCTCTTCCCATCTTCCCTTCTTTTTGTCTTTCCTCTTTCCCTTTCTCCTTTCCTTTCCCTTCTTGCAAGCTCAAATGCAAAAGGAGAAACATTCCTCCTTTGGTTTTGTTTTTAGTTTGTTTTGCTAGCCCTCTGCCAATGAAAACGGAGCTTGGGGGGAGGGGCACACACATCCCCCCAAGCTCCGTTTTAGCTGGCAGAGGCACTGCAGGCCAGTCTTTCGCTGTTTCCAGGGCAGCCCGGCAGGCCAGATCAAAACCAGCGGGCCTTGGCCTTGGCATCCCTGCCTTAGCATAACACAGGATGGTGAAGTTCTACCCTTAGCAAGAGTTGATGGGCATCAAGGCAATCATTTCTGGATTCAAAAATCTGAACAATGAGAGCAAACTCTCTTTTGTCCTCAGTGCTGCCAACTAGTAATCATCCAGATTTTTGCAGCCCAGATTTAGTACTTTAGTAGAAATTGTTAGTCCTATGGAAAAAAGTACAACAGTACAAAAAGTACAACAGTGAATATTAGTGTTGGGATCCCGGCAATTTGCCCTAATTAAATCATGAGTTTCGAGCCAAGCTTCAAAAGAATCCAAAAGATTTATTAGGAGCAACATGTTGGCATTGAGCCATATAAAGCCAACTCTGACACACGTGATTTGCAGTCACCTGTAACCCTGTTTCTCCCCTCCCCCCGGGTGTGTCATAAATCAGATTCTCCAACCGAAGGACATTCATGGGCTGGGTGTCATCAATCACATTCTCCAATGAAGGATTTTCATGGGCAACTACAATCATTGTAAGATAAGCATGGAATGTACTTCTGGTTTTAATTTCCGTACTGTTCCTTCAGGCTTTTCCCTTCCCCTGCTTATGGCAACTTGAAAACAAGCATAGGAATGCTTTACGAGTTGATAACTAGCTTTATCTTTATGGCAAAGTTATGTTAATAAAATCTTGCAGATTGGAATGTGTTCCTCCCCTCCTTTCCTTTTTCTTTCCCAAAAAACAAGGGATGGCCTGAATTTTCTGAAATGTCTTTCCCTCTTCTTTTGTGAGCTGAAATACCATTTTGTATTGTTTGTATTGATTATTGTTTATTCTGTGTCTATTTCTCCTGAATCCCAAAGTCTTTCCAAAATAACATTATAGAGACTGACATAATAATGTTGCAGATTTTTTAAAAACTTGATTTTGGCGGGGATATCTCTTATTTGGCAGTTCTCTGACTAGGATAATATCATCAAGTTTCTATGCTAATAGAAAAACCAAAGTAAAGAAGTTTAAAGTACAGGAGGTCCTTGACTTACAACTATGATTGAGTCCAAAATTTATGTTGTTAAACAAGACAGTTGTTAAGTGAGTTTTGCCCTCTTTCATGACGTTTCTTGCCACAGTTGTTAAGCGAGTCATGTGGTCCTTAAGCAAATCCACTATTGACTTTGCTTGTCGGAAACTGACTGGGAAGATTACAAATAGAGATCATATCAGAACAGTACAAATGTCATAAATACATACCAGTTGCCAAGCACCAAAATTTTGATCACATGACCATGGGGATGTTGCAACAGCCATAAGTGCAAAAACCAATCATAAGTCATTTGTTTTGGAGCCGATGTAACTTCAGATGGTTACTAAATAAATGGTTGTAAATTGAGGACCTCTTATACTCCCAATCAAATTCCATGCTCCTTTATAGGGAAGTGGCTTCTATTTTGCTCTATGAAGCCTACACCCAGACATAATATTATAATCTTATTTATATATATAATGATTGAAACAAGCAAAAAAAAAATATTACCTAGCCTTTCCTTAAACTTAGAAACTGAATTATATAAGGTCAACATATATCACTCTATAGCAGGGGTGTCAAACACAAGGCCCATGGGCTGGATGGAGTTATACCCGGCCCGTGGGGCCGTCATGAACAAAGTAAGGGACCGGCCCACGTTGTTTTGGCCCAGTCTACCTAATGCAAAGAGGAAACATTGGGTCAGTATGGCTTTGGCCCAGTCTACTCGGTGCAAAGAGGAAACATGCCAGCAGTTTGGGGAGTTGTGTCAAGCTGACCATACCCACCCAAACAGCCACACCCACCCAGACAGCCACGCCCACCCAGACAGCCATGCCCAGTGAGTGTGATCAAGCTGGTTACGCCCACCCAGTTGGCCATACACACCCAGTCAGCCACGCCCCCTCAAGGTCAACCACAGCCCTGATGCAGACCTCAATGAAATTGAATTTGACACCCCTTCTCCATATTATAGTATTTTCTTTTCTGGCTAAATATAAGGGATCAGAAACAAAGCTCTTCTCACCTCCTATTTTATGCAGAGGCATTAGGCATCAAAACTGAGTCCTACACATTTTCTGGAGTGTGTGTTTGTGTGTGGGTGTTTCTTTCTGTTTAAGCAATGGTGATCCCTTTGTGTATTTTTGTGTCTCTAGTACCATTGTTCCATAAACTCAAAATATGTAATTGAACATGCTTCAGTATAATCTTTCAGCTCAACCATAAACTGTATTCTCATTCCAAATGCCAGCATTGGTTGTTGTTGTTTTTCCTGAATGTATTTCATTAAAACAGCCTAAGCTGTTTTTAAGTAAATAAGTTATGGCTGTATTGTTATCAGTTGTTTTGTAAACATGTCTCCTTGTGCTCTGCCTCTTGTTGAGCCAAATTGAAGCAGGCCACTTGAGGGCTAAGCCTGACAGGTGTAAAAGGTTCAACTTTATAACTTTATATTTGTAAAAGCAGTGGGTTGTAGAAGCAGTGGGTTGAATCTT